AGCTCGCCGGAGTTTGAAGTCGGCCGCCAGAGTTTGTTGGGGAGGCGGCGTGGGGCTTGCCGGAGTCGGTGCCCGGCCGGATCTCGCGAGATCCGGGGCCGGGGCGGCGTTTGGACGAGGCGGCGGGGCGGTGGTCGCCGGCCAGGGGCGGCGGAGAGCGGTGGTCGCCGGCGAGGGGCGGTCGCCTGCGCGGTGGCGCGTGGACGCCGGCGCGGAGGCGGACCGGAGCGGCTCGGTGAGGACCCAGGCGAGGAGGCGCGGTGGACGCGCGAGCTCCAGAGGGCCAGCAACGGGCCTCACGGGCCTGGCGGTGGAGGGAGCGGCCGGTGCCACGTGGCGGCGCCTCAGTGGCCGCGGGTGGCGGTGGACGCGGTGTCCGGCGCGGCGGACATGTCCGGCACGCGACGGGGTAGGTGGACTAGGGTTAGGGTGGAAGAAGACCCGAGATTTCGGAGGAGGGGCTATAAATAGGCATAGAGGGAGCTAGGAGTGTCCAAATGAGGTGCGGTTTTCGGCCACGCGATCGTGATCGAACGCTCTAGATGATGGAGAGGGTTTTGGTGGGTTTTGGGCCAAATTGGAGGGGTGTTGGGCTGCAACACACACGAGGCCTTTTCGGACCCTCGGTTAACCGTTGGAGTATCAAACGAAGTCCAAATGGTGCGAAACTTGACAGGCGGTCTACCGGTAGTAAACCAAGGCCGCTTGGCAAGTCACGGTCCAATCCATCCCCACACAAGAAAGAAAGGAAGAATAGACCACCGGAGGAGAACGAAGCGCTGGAATGCAAAACAGACAACGGGGAAAATGCTCGAATGCATGAGATGAACACGTATGCAAATGCAATGCACATGATGACATGATATGAGATGCATGACAACGATAACAACACACGGAGACAAAGACCCGAATCCGAGAAAATAAAATAACTTAACGCCGGAAACGGCAAGAGTTGGAATACATATTGGGAAAGTCATATCCGGGGTGTTACATTAATCTCCTCCAAATCCTTTGCGGGCATCCTATACGGTCTCTTAGATATTGGTATTGTGCCTGGCAAAAGCTCAATAAAAAACTCAATGTATCTATCCGGTGGCATGCCTGGCAACTCTTCTGGAAATACATTAGGGAAATCCTTCACTACTAGTACTTCCTCCTACACAACTCCTGTTAACGAATTTACTTGAGTCCTTTTAGGCACATGTCGGGATACATACTTGATCCTTCTTCCTTCTGGGGTGGTAAGCAAAATTGACTTACTGGCGCAATTGATGTTTCCTCCATACATCGACAGCCAATCCATATCTAGAATTACATCCAAACCTTGTGATTCCAAAATGATTAAATCTGGGGGAAACACATGCCTACCTATACTCAATGGCACTTGAAAATATCCCTTACTGGCCATATACTCCGCTCCTGGTGAGCTTACTAACATAGGTGTTCTAAGAACCTTAGTGGGCAGGTTATACTTATCCACAAATCCCCGTGATATGTATGAATGCGATGCACCAGTATCAAAAAGAACGATTGCAGTAAATGTCTTAACCAAAAACTTACCGATTACTGCATCCGGCTGCTCTTCAACCTCCTCCACGTTAACGTGGTTCACCTGTTCCCTATTGAAAGGGTTCGGCTTCTTCCGAGAGCTTTCATTGCCATCTTGAGAAATTGTTGACTTTTTTGATATCTTGAGAAATTGTTGACTTGGTTAAAATTGGGTGACCTAATTTCAATTGGACACCTCAATTGATTGGGAGGCTTTTTACCTCTAGGGAGTTCATTGATATATAGTAGTAGATTTCTATGAGAGCAGTATGGATGGTCGCCGCGCGACCGCGACCGCGACCAGCGTATAGCTGCGCTGGTTTTCACATGCACAACGGTGAGTCGCTCCGAAGAGAGAAAGGCAGATGACACTACAGATCATAGTGACCGGCTGGCGATGGCGCTGCCAGTTGGGGATCCGACCCATTTACCTTTCGATAGTGCGCAAGGAAGGAGTCATCACCCTTCGTGCATGAACGAGAACCAGGGATACGTGCATACATTCATTCTCCCATGAATTTAGGCCTCCTTTGGTTTGTTGGATTTTTATAGGAATTCTATAGGATAGGATTTGCAAAGGAAAAATTCTTTTGAAGCCCTTTGATTTGTAGGAATGGATTCCTATTCCTATGTAGGATAGGAATCAATCCTTCACATTTTGGAGGAAAAAACATTAGCCTAAACTCAATGGAAAAAAAAAATCCTATCCTGTGCACCAAATGACATCTCTTTCTCTATAGGAATTAACATGCATGTCATCTCACTTTCTATGATTTTCCTATTCCTATAAAATTCCTATCCTATGAACCAAAAAAGACCTAGGATTTTAGGCTAATGTTGCAGAGTTGACCTTACCATTCCATCATAAGTACTCCCTCCATTCCACAATGTAGTGCTGCCTTTATCCCCGTGCTTCAACTTTGACCATAAATTTAACTATCAAGACCGATTGCGGCAGGAGCAAACATTATATCAGTGAATTCGTATTCGAAAGAAGTTTTCAATTATATAATCTTTTCTCCTGCCGCAGTTGGTCTCGTTGGTTAAATTTATGGTCAAAGTGGGACCTCGGGAAGCGCGGACGCACTATAAGGGTGCTTGGATACGTTTTAGTCTCATGACTAAAAGTAGTGGGACTAAAACTTGCTAGCCTCACCCATGCTTGGATCCAAATAGTAAAGAGACTAAAATCAAGTTATTGGGCATTTATTATCCTCCAAACCCTTCAATTCAGAACTCGCATGTGTTAAAGAAGAGGAATTAAATGAGGAGAGAGAAGGGTAATACATATTTTAGTAGGTTTCCTATGACTAAAAAATTTTAGCCTTAAGACTAGTCCTAGCCTCTCTTTAGTCAGGGTGCTTGAAACTTTAGCCTCTCTTTAGTCAGGGTGCTTGAAACTTTAGTCTCTTGGATCCAAGCACCCTCTATATTTTGAAACGGAGGGAGTAGTACATAATTGCAAATCGCAAAAGGTCAAGGGACAGCATGTGAACGCGTGCACCGCACCGGCCGCTCGGTACTGTTCGGTTGCGGTTGCGGTTGGGTGCTACCCCCCTCATCCTCATGTGCAGCGCCTGCATGGAGCGGGGCTGGAAGAACACGGCACGGGGTGCGTGGCAATGGAGATGCCGTCAGCGTGTCTGTATACATCGAAAGTCCAGATGAAGATGCCAAGGCAGCCAGCAGGAAGCAAACGAGGTAACGGCCATGAGAGACTGACTTCAGGGGGGCCCTTTTTTCCTCTAATCCTCTTCTCGTACCAGTAGAACACTCACGAGCTGTCCACACTTGCTGAGTCTTTTGTCCAAGGGTGCGCAGAGCCCTGGGACCATTCAGGATTCAGCCGTTCCAAAATCTCAACGTGCACGTGAACGAGAGGTACAGACGAACAGTGTAGTACGAGACAGAGTAGTTTCACGCCCTACTCTGCAGAAGCTGTGCCTGTCTGTACCGCTTCTCTTCATTTTTCATTTTTAAAAGAGAGAAACAGTGCGTGGTGTACACTGTACTCTGCGACGCGCTCGCTGAAAAATTTCACCCATGCGCGGCGTGATTTTCGCGACAGGAAGCATATCGTGGGCCGTCCTTCCATTTTTTTCGAGAAGAAATATCGTGCGGCCGGCCTAAGGAACAAGCTTTGGGCTATGGGCTGCTAGCCAGCCTTTGGAGAGAGGTCGGCCCATACTCGCCCGACCGCGCTGGGATGCTCGCGCCGCGCGGCGGAGGCGCCGAGCGCTGCTGAATAATCCCACATCGGGAAGGGAGCGAGTGGCGCGGGCAGGGGAGGGGTACAAGTAGGAGGGGAATGGGACGGCTGCAGCTCAAAAAGGGTCGGTTGGCTATGTATGCCACGTCCATCCTTAGCTGATGGGTGCTGTATGGCTATCAAGACATATGGCCGACATAATTTGTGGGACTCAATAGGGTTGGCTCGTCATGGCCGACCCTCCATACCTAATCTCAAATAGTTCAAACCTAATTGTAGTCGTCGGGGCAACGTGGTTGCCCACCCAGAAAAATCAATAGTGTCTTCACGATTGTAAATCAAACTCTCTCACAGGGCTGAATTTTATCTAATGTCGAAACTCAAATTTGGCGCAAACATCACGCACTCAAGTACAAAATAATTCGTTTTCTAGTCCGTCAGTTTTTGCCAACGCATTTTGATGAAGATTTTCTTTGGGAAACTAGGGAATGCGCTTCATACTTGAGAGTTTTTGATGGAAGTTTTACAGGCCCTTTCGATTCGAACAAAACACACTATGGTCACTTAGACGACGAGGATCGCCCTCCGTGCAGAATAAAAATGGAATCTTATTTCACATGAGAAGTCAATCCGGGCTTAATTTTAGTTCACCGCACTCTGAGGAATATAACAGTGTAGGAAGAATAGAGAACACCCTAGTAGAAACAAAAAGGAACGCCAGAGCAGGGGTACCAGTTTTCTTGACTTCAATCGCAACAAGAATAGCATTTGCTTCAACGGGACACGGCAAAGATGCAAACATTCCAATGTACAGCCGCAGCTGGGACTCGGTAGCTGCGCGCTAGCGCCATCTGTGTAGACTTGGGAAGGCGTCACGTATGATCACAGCAGCTCCTTCGCATTTTCTGCCTTCTTATCCTCGTCACTGTCACTCTCTAAGCCCTGCAGAAGCACGGAGCTGATGTTAGCATCAACCATACAGATGTAACGGCAATATCTTATATGCCTCAAGCATGTCAAACACACACGCAAGTGATACACAACATCTCAAGAGACACCTAAGTAGCCTAGTGGTAGAGCACTAAGCTTCCAGCTGTTAAAGCAGTAGATTCATGCCCCCACTAAGGGTCGAGCACTAATCTGGAAGTCAAAGATATGTGGTGTCACCTGCAAATGCTTTTCTTGTACAGTACATCACAGCAGAACAAGAAACGTGTAAAGGCTATAGAATGATCACCACGCCTCACATTGGTAGTAGCACTAGAACAAGGAATTCCAAATGTACAATGTCTTGTCCAATACGGTTACCGCACATCAAAACTGCATTCCATGGGTATGAAACACTAGACCAATACCATCTTATAAACTGGCTAGTGACGGTATCTATTTTACGGGAAGCAGGTGTACTTACTGAGGCACCATCTATCTTATCAAAGTCATCGTCTAGCTCATCATCATCGCCAGCATCTGCAAGTGACGACACAAAAAATAAATCACATACAAGAAATGCAGCAACATGTAGCAATTAATTGGATAGGATCAGGGTGCAGGTAAATGAATAGCGTACCAGGACCCTCATCATCACTGCCTAGATCTCCAAGAAGAAATACATCCAGATCCTGCTCTCGATTTGATGAGGTAGATGTCTTGCTTGGCACCTTCGTGTCTTTCTCTTCTGAAGTTGTAGCTTGTGAGGTCTGTGATATTTCCTTCTGGGCAACCATTTTTTCCTCCTCGGCTTTCACTTTCAGCTCCTCAAAATATTTGGTTTCGTAACTATGCGGGTTACATTTCAAGTCAATAAGCTATAGAGGATCAACACTAGTGCCTAGTGTGCAAGAAAATTATGCTCAAACTAACACATGTAGCATTATAGCACTTGGAAAGCAAACCATTTTTAGCTCAACTAGAAAAACATCGACCCTGGTTTCATGAGGCAAGTCAAGTTTGTTATAAGCCCAAAATAGAGTGGCAAAAAAAACAAAAAATCACTGCTTGTAACATAATTCATTTATCATATACAAGTGTTCCATTGGGTAACTGAATCGTGGAATTTCACAGACTAAATAATCAGAATATATATTTTTTAGTTCCTTCAACAAGTGCAAGACCAAGGATAAATCACAAACCATCCAGATTCTAGAAATAAAAAGATTGTTCAAATTCCAATATGCAAGATCCTACAGGTTGAATTGGACACAACAAAATTTGAACAAACAATTCTGGCAGAATATCTATTGTGTGTATTCTGAAGAAATAATCAGTCCAAACTACCTATAGGTGGCAAATGTGGCAATGTAGAATCCATTCTGTTAAGACAAACGTATGATGCAGAAGTTTGGCCCGTGTTGACCAATGACCACAATATGTATTAGGATTTACATAGCATGAGCCAACATGAAGCAAGAAGAGTAGAAGACTTACGGGGTTACATAGTTGTTTACTAGCAAGAAATAAACTCGCCAGAATTTACGCTCTTTCATGTATCTTGGGCACAGCTCATATCTGAACTTTGAAATTTCCTGAACATAAGATAGCGCTGGTGAATAAAATTTCGCCAAAATACAAAATTAGAGACTCAACACAAAAAACTAGTATGCAGGTTAACAGGATAATAAATTAATAGCCCAACAGAGCCTCAGCGATCTGGACCAGCAGTAAACTTGTAGCAACAAATGACAGAACAGAGATCTTATTGAACTATAATCCTAAAGAAGACAAGGTCATGGCAAACCATTTTATCTAGTACATTCTGATTCATGCAAAGTAGGAAACACAAATACCATTGAAATTCCCCGAGTGTTGATAAGTCGGTAATGTACTAGTTATTGAGTTAGCTCTAAGCCTCTAACCGTCACACCAATCAAAAATCAATCTATTGTCCAGAATAACAATCACTCTAATACTCTAAATTATTTGAAGCTAAAAACATAGTTTTCACCCTTTTCTGATCTCAATATACACATCTAATCAGATTTGGAAGCAAACACAGAAGTATGTGTGTCTGTTCATACGTGCATTCACCGACAGGCCATACATCGAGCCACATAAACCCAATCTCCCATGGACATACATGCATTAAACCCCCATTGACTGAAATGGTTAATCGAGACAAAACCTTGACGGCCGAGAGGACGAGAGTGGCGTGCCTAGCCTGCCATTCGTTCAGATCCTGACGCACATTCGACACCGTGGGCACATCAGACATCTCCGGCTCATCTGTGCAACACAAATCTTATCATCAGTCAATCCAGTGCCTCGAATCCCCTAAACCCAACCATGAGTGAACCGCACCTTGCAAGGGGAAGTCGCGGAACGTGCTTATGGTCATGCCGTTGACGAACGCGCGGAGGTCTTCGGTGATGCCGTAGCGCTCGAGCTCGGCGGCGTCGGGCTCCGACTCAGCCGCGGAGGGGAGGGGCGAGATCGCGGGGATGGGCGGGATGGAGGGGACGGGGATGTCCGAGGCGAGGTGCATGATCTGGCCGGCGAGGAGGTCGGCCTGCTTGGTCGCCTCCGCGGCCATCTCGCGGGACTTGATGGCGGTCTCCGAGAAGATCTCCTTGGACTTCTTGGCCGTCTCCGACACCAGCACCGACGACCGCTTGGCCGCCTCCAGCGACAGCTCCTGCGACCGCTTCGCCGCCTCGCCGGCGAAGGACCGCGCCCTCTCCCAGAGATCCATCGCGCTTGGGAAATTCTACAAGGTTCGGTGTCGACTCACCGCCGTCGACTTCGCTGACGTCGGTGTGGGTCTTGGTTTTTCTTTTTCTTTTGATTGACAACTCGGTGTTGCTTGAGAAGTGGGAAGATATTGGATATTTTGCGAATCCTCCCTCTTATAGCTGTGATAATTAGGGGCAATCCTTTCTGGTTTTTCTTTCTTTCTAAATGGCAATCCTTTCTAGTCGAAGTACTACTAGACTGCTACCCACGTTCAGTGCTAACAGTAACTCCAACGCGCTGATCTAACTGGACGTGTACTTCGTCCGTTTTTTATCCATTTGGGTCGGTTGCCCGCTCGTTGTCCGCCTATGTTGGAGCGGTGCACTTAATTCTTGTTCACGCATGGAACAATTTAAAGTTAGAAAGGGCCCACGGCCAGAGATCGCCAGAGATCATGTGGCCATCGCTCAGAGTTCTCGTCGGCGGCCATGCCAATGGCCGACATACATGCTAGCCTAAAAAAACATCACAAAGTTCATACTGGTGCACTTACCAACGGTTGGCACACATGCAGCACACAAAAATGGGTTGGAGTTCAACCACGCCTTTCTCGGTCGTGGTCATGCCGTCACACCTGCCGGTATAAAAAATCTTCGTCATAGATCAGTCATCAAGCTTGAGCATGTCGGCTTGCATCTTCTCGAACCAAGGCCCCTTCCTCAGGGACACCGGCTCAAGTCCACCTTCATGATCTCCACCCCTTCACCATGCAAGCGAGTTCCACTTCTTTTGCTTTGGTCTTGGCTTTGGTAGCCTCGATCTTGAGCATCTTCGCTTGCATCCCAGCCTCCATATCAAGCTTCTTCGCTTGCATCTTCGCCTCCATCTCAAGCTTCTTCCTTTTTATCTCCATCTAAGCCTTCATTTGCTCTTCTTTGTCTTGCCAACGCGCTCCTTCCTTATCCTTTTGGGTCATCATGCCTTCCAAAGTTGCTTGCAAGACAAATGATGCTGCATCACGCTTGTCCTCTCTCTTGGAGTTGGTCTTTCCCCGCGGCCACAGCTTCTCTCCCTCACCATGCTCCTCGGCGGCTTTCTCCCCTCCATTCTTCATGAGGGCCGCATATTGCTCCTTGAATTTCTCATCACCTTTTATGACCATCCAACAATGGGTGAGAGTGAACGGGTTGTTCCCATGTTGGGACTTGAAAGCTTCAAAAGCTTGAAATGTCTACAAATGAAGATATGAATGCATATGGGCATTGGACATACAAGCATGAAACAAAGGTGGAGAAATGTATACCATGTCTTTGATGCTGAGGACACTCAACGGACGACCCTCGATGCTCTCAAGGGTGGCACAAAACTTGTTGCACTCTTGTTGTATGACCATCCAACACTTCGAGAGGGATACCCACCCACGCTTCCTCTCCATCTTGTACATCGCGAACTTCTTGTGTTCATGAAATTGGCGATGAACTCTTAGCCAAAAGGTTGATACCTTTTGCTCGGCGCCAATCTTGAGGTATTGTTCAATGTCCCTCCAACATTCACAAAGGAGTTTGTCCTCATCCTTTGTGTATGCCTTCGTCCGAATGCTTTGGCGCTTCTTTTTGGATTGGCTTTGGAGGTGAGCTCGTCGTCAAACAAAGGCTCCCCCTCAATGTCCACTTCATCTTCTTCTTCTAGGCCGTAGTCATCCGGGAACTCATGGGCTAGCGGGAAAGCGCTGCCCATGTGAAAGCGCATGTTTACTCCCAAAGGGGGGTGAATGGGAGATTTTTAGAAATTCGTCAAACTCGAATGAATTTGACGAAGATAAGAGTGAAGAAACATAAACGCAAGGCAACTAATTCATCACAGTAATGGAAAGAATGCATACAAGATAAATATGGATGAAGAACATGCGATCATACAAGCGTACAAGCGTGAGGAAGATGAACTGAAGAAATGAAAAACAATATGATGAAAGTCTTCAGTTTAAATTCTTCAGAAGGTAGATCATAAATTCTTCAGCAGCGGAATGACGTAGAGGTAAGGTGGGGAATTTGAAACCAGGTAGGCTCGGTGAAGGCACATCAATTTGGTAGATCAATTCTAGTTATTGTATCAACTGTATGTCTGGTTGAGGCGGCTGAGATGAACTCAGAGGACACTTAGTCTTTATCATATTCCTCTTGAGCCAATGTCACTTAGACCTCGCCCAATCACTCGTGGCAAGTCTTAGACTTCCAAAACCTTCATAGACTTGTTCACCAACACACCACAATGACTCTTGGGTGCTTAGAACATGACGCCTAACCGTCTGAAAGAATGACAGTCTTCAACGGTAACATGTGTTGGATCACACAGACCAATCTCTTCAGTGATACTCAATCACTTTGGCTATGGTTGGGTTTTTCCTCACTTGCGATTCTCTCAAAGTCGTCAGAGGATGGGGTTGCTCTCAAATGACAAGCGTCAAGTGTTGGAAATATGCCCTAGAGGCAATAATATTTGTATTGTTATATTTCCATATTCATAATTATAGAGTTTATATTTTATGTTATAACTACTATGATCCTGGAATATGTGATTCAGTGAAAAACTCATATGCATGTGTGGAATAATAAATGGTTAAATAAAAGGTTCCTAGTCTTGCCTCTAGGACTAGCTCAAGTGTTGTTGGTGATCACATTTTCTGGATCTTAGGATATCATTTAAAGTGTTAAACGATAGTCCTAAAACAACTTTGAGATTACGACATTGGAAGAACAATCGTATTGAATCAACCCAAACTTGTTTGTTGTGAAATGAATTAATATCATCTGTATTCAATTGTAATAACACAAAGTGTTAACATGTGATTTTGCTCCTTAGACCATGAGAGTATCATAGTCACTTCTTACCGTGCGATGGGCTTTGGGGTTGCTCAAACGTCACCTATAACACAGTGATCATAACGATAACTTACAGGTTCGTCGGAAAGTTTGACAAGTGACCGGATAGCTCGAGAGTGGGATTTGCTCCTCCTATGATGGAGAGATATTCTTAGGTCCCTCTCGGTGTGACGGCATCAATCGTAGTCTGGCCATACACACATGACTTTGTGATGTCTACTACACAGCCTATTCTTGTAGACTCGTGTTGGGGCTCCAAGCCCAGAGTTTTGTAGGACAGTAGTGATACGTCCATTTTGCATCATGCTTTTATATCAATATTTATTTGCATTATGGGCTGTTATTACACATTATGTCACAATACTTATGCCTATTATCTCTTATTTTACAAGGTTTACATAAAGAGGGAGAATGCCAGCAGCTGGGATTTTGGGCTGGAAAAGGAGCAAATATTAGAGACCTATTCTGCACAGCTTCAAAAGTCCTGAAACTTCACGGATGATGTTTTCCAAATATATAAAAAAATACTGAGCGCAAGAACCTCACCAGGGGGGCCACACCCTTCCCACTAGGGTGGGGGCGCGCCCTACCCCCCTGGGCGCGCTCTCCTACCTCGCGGGCCCCTTGGTGGCCCTCCGGTGGCCATCTTCTGCTATATGGAGTCTTTCTATGGGAAAAAATCCATAAGCCATCTTCTCAGACGAAACTTCGCCGCCACGAGGCGGAACCTTGGCAGAACCAACCTAGGGCTCTGGCGGAGCTGTTCTGCCAGGGAAACTTCCCTCCGGGAGGGGGAAATCATCGCCATCGTCATCACCAACGCTCCTCTCATCGGGACAGGGCAATCTCCATCAACATCTTCACCAACATCATCTCCTCTCAAAACCCTAGTTCATCTCTTGTATCCAATTCTTGTCTCCAAGTCCGGGATTGGTACCTGTGGGTTGCTAGTAGTGTTAATTACTCCTTGTAGTTGATGCTAGTTGGTTTAATTGGTGGAAAATCATATGTTCAGATCCTATATGCACATTAATACTCCTCTGATTATGAACATGAATATGCTTTTAGTAGTTACGTTTGTTCCCGAGGACATGGGAGAAGTCATGCTATTAGTAGTCATGTGAATTTGGTATTCGTTCGATATTTTAATGAGATGTATGTTATCTCTCCTCTAGTGGTGTTATGTGAACGTCGACTACATGACACTTCACCATTATTTGGGCCTAGAGGAAGGCATTGGGAAGTAATAAGTAGATGATGGGTTGCTAGAGTGACAGAAGCTTAAACCCTAGTTTATGCGTTGCTTCGTAAGGGGCTGATTTGGATCCATATGTTTCATGCTATGGTTAGGTTTACCTTAATACTTTTGTTGTATTTGCGGATGCTTGCAATAGAGGTTAATCATAAGTGGGATGCTTGTCCAAGTAAGGGCAACACCCAAGCACCGGTCCACCCACATACCAAATTATCAAAGTACCGAACGCGAATCATATGAACGTGATGAAAATTAGCTTGACGATATTCCCATGTGTCCTCGGGAGCACTTTACATCATATAAGAGTTTGTCCAGGCTTGTCCTTTGCTACAAAAGGATTGGGCCACCTTGCTGCACTTTATTTACTTTTGTTACTTGTTGCTCGCTACTAATTATCCTATTACAAAACTATCTGTTACCACTTATTTCAGTACCTGCAGAGAATACCTTGCTGGAAACTGCTTATCATTTCCTTCTGCTCCTCGTTGGGTTCGACACTCTTACTTATTGAAAGGACTACGATAGATCCCCTATACTTGTGGGTCATCAAGACTCTTTTCTGGCGCCGTTGCTGGGGAGTGAAGCGCCTTTGGTAGGTGGAATTTGGTAAGGAAAAATTTATACAGTGTGCTGAAATTTACTGTCACTTGTTACCATGGAAGGTAATCCTCTGAGGGGCTTGTTCGGGGTATCTTCACCCCGACCAGTAGAGCAAAGAGTTGCTCCTCAACCTACTGAAAATGAAAATGAAAATGCTTGCTTTGAAGTTCCTTCGGGTATGACAGAAAAACTGCTAGCTAATCCTTTTCTAGGAGATGGAACAAAACATCCTGATGTACATCTGATATATGTGGATCATGTTTGTGGATTATTTAAGCTTGCAGG